TGCGGATGGGGGCGCCTCGGCGCGCGCTCTCCATGACGTAATGCTGTGTGGGGCTGTGCGTTTGCTCAGTACACGGCACCGTACACGCCCCAAAAATAAACGAATTCAGGGGAAAATGTTTTTCGACGTAGGGAATGGGAAATTCGTACCCAGTACCGTAGTCACCTTTATAAGAAGCCGAAGCCGCGCAAAATCGTAGAGCTTTCCGATGGCGTCTTTATCGCTCTCTACGAGGAGGACACCGTTGTCTCAGATTTGAAGAATAACTCGCGACTCTTGCTCACAGCTTCGGATGACCAGTTGCTGAACACCAATGACTTAGACTCTGGGCATGCTGCAAAGACATGTCGGGGGCATGAAGGGTTGGTTCTGAGTGCGGCCGGGTCAGATGATTCGGAGTTTATTGTGAGCGGGGGAGTGATAGGACTGTCAATATTTGGGATCGGCAGATGGGGGAAACTTTGTATATCTGTAAGGGACACCGAGATTCGGTTTGGGGAACGACGTTTGAAATGAAGGGGATGAAGACAGTAGCGGTTTATGATGATGGGTCTATTAGCGCTATAAATTGCAGCGGCAAGGTTTGATCAAAGCGAAATTCAGAGGCACGAAAGGAAGTTAGGTGAACCTCGAGCACCGAACGCGGAGTTGAACATAACGAAGCTGGGAAGCCAATGTGTACTAAGATGTCGGGATGTGTCGACTAGACGATTCAACTTTACTGTACAACCCAGTGGAGAAGGTGGCAAAGGGCAAGGTGAGGAGATGGGCTTAAGGAACTAGCATGCTAATAAATGAGAAAGTGGTATGATGCCTCTTTCGTAGAAGAAAGCGCGATGTACAAGAGTGTTGTACAAATACAGAAAAGTATACAGGTAGACCAGGTGGAGCGAGAACCGAAAAAGGAGGGCATGAGGGTGGCGTCTTGGTGTGAACAAAATTGCGAAAGAAATGTGCGCAGTACCGGCTTGGCGAGCAGGTACTCCTCGACGAGGACTTCGTCGAGCTGCAGCGAGTCGAGCTCGTGCTGCAGGCCGAGGACCGCGAGTCAGACATGAGCGAGCGGCCCGGGCCGGAGTCCATGAAGTCGACCTCGGAGAAGTGGCGCGACTGGATGCGGCGGCGGGAGCCGCCGGGGGCCACTTTACCCCCTGCAGGGGGGTGAAGAGGCGATGGTTGGGGCCGAGAGGTGCAAGGGGCGGGAAGTGAGAGGGTAAAGAGGCGGTGGTAAGATGCGGGAAATGTGTGGGCCGGTGGAACGGGGAGAAGCGGGATCCTTTTGTTCAATGCGGGGCGAGGATGGGTGACGGCGCCCGCGGGACGGTGGTGCGGGTGTAAGTGCGCAGCATGACGGAGGGGTCGGAGCGGGGAGCAGCTGAACAAGAACACAAACCACAGTTTTGCTGTTCGACATAGCGAAATCGCGCGGAACGAGACGACGAGAGTAGCGCTAAACTCTTTCCGGCGAGTATTGATAAATATGCTCCTTAGCGAGAGGTTGAGTGTGATCGCCGGTGAGCACGTCGTCCGGGTGGGGTGGCGAGACAGCAGGAGGAAGGGGGATAGTCTTAGTATGGACAGCTGGACTCTTGTCCATGTTGGAGCGCTCTGGGGGCAGCACACAGCACCAGACACAAGCGAGGATAGTGATGATGGCAGAGCCAGTAGCAATAGAGATGACTGCGATGGCGAGTTTGCGGAGCAACGTACTGGGCGGATGGGAAGGGAGGGGGCCAGCGCCGGGACCACCCGGTCCATTGCCCCCAGCTAGTCCTGGGGGTGGGGTGCTGTTGTCAGGTGCAGTTGTTGGTGAAGCTTGAAGGGCTGCTTCTGGCTTTGGACAACCGAGAATGTGAGAAGGAAGACGAAGATGAGAAGGACGAAACGAATGGAGACCGCCATGGTGGGCTCACACGACGAAACGGGATGAAAGGCAATTACGAGCGGGGTCTCCTGGACGCGCTCGTGCCGCTCGCGGATGGGGGCGCCTCGTCGCGCGCTCCATGAAATACACCTCGCTCTGCAGGCGTTACGTGTCCAGCGCGCGGCCCACCAGCGCGCGGCGGGATGTTATTTTTTATGTAATAAGAAGATTTATATCCATGGATCAGTATTGTGACTCGGGCATACGGTATGCCCGAGTCACAATACTGATCGCGGCGTGGCACGTATGCCGCATACGTCTGAACACTTCAGCCACTGCTGCTCCGTTGTGCACCCCTCGCGGTCGAACTGAACGTAAAGGAGTTTTTGCCCCATCAAGACCTCCATCGGACTGCCGTGTAGCACCTCCTCGAGCGCTTGCCGAGCATCATGTGCTCGAATCACTGGGAAGTCGGGATCAGCATCTCTGATATGCCACCTCTATGCAATCTCTTTCTGCGACAAGAAGCTCGTAGGTGTGCTGTCCTCAATTCGTTTCAACAACAGACTAGCCAAATCAAGCGCGTCTCTCATTGCAATGAGATCATGGGGGCTTAATGAGTCATCCCAAGTTTCGTCGCGTTTCCCGACTACAGTATTTCCGGTTGTTTCGAACGTCTCCTCCTCTCCACACTCTAGCAATCCACTCATTCTACAGCCCCCAAACCTCTCCCGTAAAAGGTCTGACTATCGCGCAGAAAACTCGTGTTCTACGGCAAAACCAAGGCCTACTCTTCTGAACCAATCCATGACTGTGTTCTTTTGCCTCTGTCGCAATGAACACAATACTTTGATCACAACTGGCAAGACGGCGCAGAACTTCGAGAAGTTGCTCAGAGGGTTTGGCCAACTCTGACCGACTCTCAACCGTGGGAAGAGTACCATCGGAATCAAAGGAAAACAATCGTTTCTCCTTCGTAGCACGGTATGAATATCTAACCTGGTGTGTTGGTATCGGAATTAGTTGTATCGCTTTTGCCTTGCGATTCGCGGAGTATTTGACTATATCGTCAATGAAGCGAGCGCCCGATGCGGACGCAGTGTGCAAGTCGACATGGCGGTATACTTTCTGGTGTTTCAACTCTCTCTCTCGAAGTCGTGCATTTCCAGGCTCTGAAAATTGCATCGCTGACCATTATCAACGTTCCAAAGATTCACTAGCAAAGCACCCGTTAAGTTTTTTGCGGCTCCTGTGAACTCGCTCAAGATGAGAACACCATTTTGCTCTGTTTCACATATGATGTACACATGACTCACAAGATTCATTCCGTCTCGAAGCGATGTGATTGTAGAACAGCTCCACTGGAAAAAAGGGGTGGTCTGTTTAGTTCTTGAATGAGCTCTCAAACCAAATTTTCATACGCATCCGATAGCGAGGCGCGCCACCATATCATGGATCATTGCCTCCGCACTTCATGGGTCAAGATTGTCGAATCTGTAGGTCATCGACATAAATGCAGAGTAGATTGATCTACATAATGACTCCAAGGAGTTATCCACTCTTTGAAACCGTGAATTTCACAGTTTCACAAAAATTACACACTTTGCTGCAGTGCGCAAAGAATAAATATACTCTCCAGAATTAGCGACCTGTGTCTAAAAGCCATAAATAGGCTTAAATTCAGCTTAGGCAATATTCCAACGCAGTTCTTTTTAAGAAGGAAAAATCTTTTTAATAACCAATCACTGTTCTAGCCCCCTTCTTTGGCTCCGGGCTAACCTTGCGTCGCGCAGGAGGGTTTGAGCAAAAACGCACACAAGATGGCAAGTTCGCTCTCCCCGGGGGTGCTCCCCCAGGGAACGTTGCCTTTACTTAAAGACAACATCACATAGAACGCCCGAACGGGCGCTTAGAAGCGCCACTGTCGGCGTTCGACATGTTGCAATTCGATTCAGGCAGAATCGAGCGTGGCCAGGCGAACGGACGCCACCTGCCACGTGCACTTGAGTCAGCTCGACTCTGATACTCTTTCGGCCGGCGGCTACAGCTCGACACTGTAGCACGGCCTGAGGTCCGACGGTACTTGTGCGTCAAAAATGTCGCACAGGTGAAGACGTCAACGCGGCCCATCCTGCGCCGGCACTACAGAGTCCCGCACGACGCACCTTCGTCACGATCACCTCATCCACCCCTTCAGCTTTCCCATCAATTGTAAAGTCCTCAAACTCTAACGATCCGGCATCCAATGTGATCACGCGATAAGCCCTTGTCTGAACCATATCTGGTAGCTGTAACTCTAGTACACTGGCTCTACAAACCGCCTGCAACCCCCCGGCATGAACCCTTTGAGCGTATGTAAATACCCGGACAAGAACGCAGCTAACCTTGGCCGGGCCAGACCTCCCTCCTCATCCCTCCTTGCAGTGTTCATAGGAGCACAACGAAGGAAGCTTTTAAGTTCAAGCAAGCCCGGGCTTAGCGTTCATGTATCCCGTGCAATACCATGAGAAGAAATACGTCTTCATTGCGAAACTCCGGTTATTTACTCCCGCATTGTTTTCTTTCTATCGTCTGTTCTACAGGGGCTCGTTCCTCCAACAAAGTGACTCGCATCCACACTCATTTTGTTACGAGATCTAGTCGGTTGCTATTTGCGTTCTAAAATTGGTGCTGATGCTACCGTATAATCTGGGCCATCCCTGCTCCTCTGAGCACAGTGTGCGCTCCCGAGGGAGCAACAGCTCATGTCGTTGGGGAAGCGCCTCCTTTCCAGGACTGGTTCTGATAATTACTTTTTCCCGTCGCAGACGGAGCTGGTGTCACTGAGGCCGATAGCTTTCCGAGCCTTTTCAGAATACAGGGGATGAAGGCTTTCATGATGTTGGGCAAAAGTGCCAGGTCGCTATCATCTACCACATTGGAAATAAGAGAGTGAGGAACCGCTTCTCTTTTCACAATGTCCAGAAAATCCATGGTCACAGCGAGCAAATCTTCCTCTGAGATGCTCGCGCTTTTCATGCTGCCATTTGCCACGCCTATGTTGCAATCGTGGCTAAGGTAAACGAAGGGATGTTGCATAAGGTCTGGAATGGACATACGATTTTGCGGGTCGCGCTGCAGGCATCCGTGGAGGACTTCAAGCGCAACAGGGTCGGTTACATGACGGTATGATATTTCGTACTTTGGATTCTGAATGCAGTTCAGCCTTTGAAGAGTGTCTTTGATGTGGGCGAAGGGCGCTCTTCCACACAACATGATACAAGATGAAACCTAAACTCCAGATATCACTTACACGCCCCACTCGGTACCTTACTGATTGCAGATCAGTTTCTGAGTCAGTGCCGTATTCATTCCATGCTCTAGAATCTGGATTCTCGTTCACTAAGGCCTCCGGGAACATGTAGTTGAGAGTCCCTACCTGAGCTTCCCGAAAAACTTTTGTCGTGTCTTCGCTAGTGATGGCTTTCGCAATCCTAAAATCTGTTAACTTCAACTCTCCTCGGACGACCAAGAAGTTTGCTGGTTTCAAATCTCTATGAATGATTTTAGCCTCGTGAATGGTGTGCACAGCCTTGACCATTTGCAGACAGTGAACCCTCGTGAAGTGATTCTCCATACTCCTACTCTTATTGCGGAGTAGGATTTTCGCAAAGTCAACGTCCCCGTACTCCATGACCATCTTAATGGTTCTACATTCGTACTGAACTTCCGCATCGAGGAGTTGGATGATCGATGAAAAAACTCGGAGTTTCTTGAGCAACGCCATTTCGTTTGCGTACGAAACAAGAGTTGTTCGAAAATGCGACGAAGCGGGGACCTTCACGCACTTTATGGCCAGCACTTCCATATCCTGGCTGAGAACTTTGAAAACTTTCGAGCTGCCACCCCTTCCAGCCTCGCTCAAAATCAAGTACTGCCTTTTGTTCACTGTGAGCACGCTTTCATGCTTAGGTTCGTTAAACATACCCCAAAGCGAATTTTGTTGTCGCGCAGTCGTATTCTTCGAAGCGTCAACTGAGGACGATTCGAGTGACAGATGGCCAACAACAGAACCCCTCGAATGGGAAAAGTAACTTTCCCTATCAAGGCTGGAGTTCAATGGCTGGGAGTTTCCGCCATTTGTAGTTGCCTCGAGGTTGGGACCAGTGCGATTCCTTCTTGGCTGCATTCGACGATCAAAGTTTCCTGTTGGCAGACGACTGCTAAATTCAAAAATACTGGCAAAGCCCTTGTTATGGACATCGTGTGCTTGCAACTGGCGTACCCCTCGGTATCTACCATTCTTTTTGCCGAAAAATCCAAATCTTCTTGACATACTTCAGAAGCTCCTATTTTCAGACGTCTTTGCAGGACCACGGTGGAATATTACCTCACCGTCTCTGTGCACATCCCTCTCCATAATTCCGCTTAAAGCACTTTCGAACGCGCTAAGGCGGGAGAAGGAAGAGAACAACGACAGGGGGAGGTGCAAGAGAGGATGGCGAGCGAACTGTTTTGAGCAGAGTGCAGGCGGTTCACTGGCCACACGCTCACGCAGCGTGCCACGTATGCTATGTCCGAGTCATAATACTGATCAGGGGATATATATAACCTGAATAGACTCGCAGTAGAGATTACAACAGAAAAATCACATCCCGCAGCGCCTGTGCCGCGCGCTGGACACAGACCGTCTGCAGAGTGGGACATAAAACTTTGCGTCATGAAGAGCGCGGGCCGAGGCGCCTCCATCCGCGAGCTGCACGGGCGCGTCCAGGAGACCCCGCTCGTAGTTGCCCTTCATCCCGTTTCGTCGTGTGAACCCACCATGGCGTTCTCCATTCGTTTCGTCCTTCTCATCTTTTTTCTTCCTTCTCACATTCTCGGTTGCCCAACGCCAGAAGCAGCCCTTCAAGCTTCACCAACAAACTGCACCTGACAACAGCACCCCACCCCCAGGACTAGCTGGAGGCAATGGACCGGGTGGTCCCGGCACTGGCCCCCTCCCTTCCCAACCGCCCAGTACGTTGCCCCGCAAACTCGCCATCGCAGTCATCTCTATTGCTACTGGCTCTGCCATCATCGCTATCCTCGCTTGTGTCTGGTTCTTTGTCCTGCCCCCAGAGCCCTCCAACATGTACAAGAGCCCAGCTGGCCATGCTAAGACTATCCCTCTTCCTCCTGCTGTTGCTCGCCACCCGGACGACGCGGTCACTGGCGATCACACTCAACCTCTCGCTAAGGAACATATTTATCAGTACTATATTTATCGCTATAGCCCTGGTCAATAGAGACCTGGGAATCTGCGGCAAGCCGAATAACTCCACTTAATTCACGCTGCTGCGCCCATTTGCGGGCATGAATTGATCGCACTCGCTCTCTCTCACGATCTTTGTCCTCTTCAGCATTCTGGGTCAAACGGGTTGACACGGTCATTGCGTAGTCGGATATACCATTAAGGTCTTCCTCATCTGATGAGTCTTCATTGTCGTTCCCCATGTCAGACGCTCTGACGGCCTTACCATCGCCTGTAAATAAGAGACGATTGGCACTAGGCATTGCTTTCAGCAAGTCCAGTTTTCGCGTTTCGTAATTTCTTTAAAACTATCGTCCAAAAACAATACTTTTTATTGTTTTTCACGGTTTTGCCTCCGCCGTGTATTACGCCGTGGGGGAGGGGAGCCAGGATAAGTACCTCATCCTGCTCTACACGATGACGTTCGATCGTGTGCCCTCCGAGAACGAGGACGCCCGCCGGGGCTTCAACTCTGCCTTCGGACGAGACTCCTCGACACGTATGGACGCAATCCTGGCTATCGACAACTGGTTTAGCCAGAATAGGGGCAAGAAGAAGCGCGTTAACTACGCCATGTCTTGCAACGTCTCTTCCTTGGCGTCGAGGTATTTCACCAGGTCTCAGCCCATACCGTTTCAAGACAACACCATCCTCTGTCTCCGCTCTGCCGTCTGCAACGCCATCTCCCTGGTCGCTGGCCGGCGCGCTGCCGAGTGCGTTTGGGCGGCGGAGTCCGACCGAGTCACCGAGTTCGAGGGCCGAAAGAACTATTCGCCAAGCGTTCATCACTTCACTCATGTCCAACGGACCCTTCAAGCTGATTACCACGGCACCGTATCCTTGGATCACGAGGTTCCACCGCCTGGGTCAACCGTTCATGGCAGGTCCAGTGCCAGGTCCCCGTTATGGCGGAGTTCGGACGTCGATTGGCTACTCCGCTTGTCGACAAGTGTGGAAGCTGGTGTCTACGTCCTCCGCCTCAATGACATCCATGGCTTCCAGCATGCTATTTGTCTGGACGCACGGACAGAACCGGCGCTGATATATGACTGTTCTGAGCGGTATGCCATGCAGCTCACGAGAAGTTCTTTCCGCTTGTGCTGCCCCGCTGGCGATCCGACCAAGTTTCAGTACTTCGACGATATGCGCGTCGTGCACCGAATGGCAAAGCGGGATAGAAGCGACGGCAAGAGTCTCGGTCAGGAACACAAGAAGAAGAGAGTTCGTCGAGGTAATCGTGGCCCAACTCTCTCACATGGTAAGGGCCGTCGTGCGAAAGGATCACTCAAGTAATCAACCAAAGATAGTTCATCCAAAAGAAGCGTAATTCATCCGAGTCATCTTCAATCTAGTGCATGTGTAGGTAACCAATGCATCACATCTACATAAGATGTGCGGGTTTGTGAATAAAAGGGATTAAGCGCCTTGCATGTATATCCCGTCGACTGTAACGCAAACCAGGCGAAACGAGTGTGTACCGCGGGTGCTTTGCCCGTACTACCTTGCAGGGGCCGTAGTACTTCGATTCTCCTAAAGGCCATTTCCGTAGCCCTCCCAAGGCTGTTCCTCGGGCAACCAGTACCTGGTCGCCTACGTCAAATTGGCGTTTTGAGATAACTGCCATCTTCTTGCTCTTTCTGTCCAACTGTTTAGCAGTCCTCGTCGCTCGGAGCGCGAGGATCGCTAACAGTTCCAAGTTGCGCCCCTCAACGCCCCCCACCGGATTTGGTTCGACTCGGTCTGGGGTTGCGAGGGCGGCTTCACTCCATACATCAATCCGAACGGGGAGAACCCGTCGGACAGTCGGCGCCGACGGTACCCGTACAGAATCCGTTTCAACGCCGATTCCCATTTAGAGGTAGCGGCGCCCTGACCTAATAGCGTCTTCCGAATTGAACGCTTGATGGTCCCAACCATACGCTCCGCTTTTCCGTTGGACATGGGAGCATAGGCGAGGACCGGTTTCCATGAAATTCCCTGTTGTGCTATGAAGTTCTTCGACGCTGTCGCGCTGAAACATGTTGCGTTATCTGAGACTATAGTCCGAGGGGGACAAAACGAATAGATGATCTCCTCCTTCACAAACTAGACAACTTCCGCAGACGTAACGGTCTCGATTGCCCAAGCCAGGAGCCAACCAGTCAGATGTTCGACCGCTATCAGGATGTAACGTTTTCCGTTCTTCGTCTTGGGAAGGGGTCCCGCAAAGTCTATCGAGAATGTCTCAAAGAGCTGAGAGACTGGTATCACCGCCGTGCTCTTGTACGTCGGGATGGGCGCATCCTTTTGGCAGCCTTCACATCCACGAACGTAGGCGTAGATATCACCATGAACTCCCGGCCACCAGTACCTGTCAAGGACGAACTGCTTCGTAGCTGTAGTGTCCCAGTGGCCAATGTCATGCAGCGATCGCAATATCTGCAGTCGAGTCCCCCGAGAAGGGATTGTTCTGATCCTGTAGCATAAACCCCCGGTCGCGTTGGGGGTTTAGCTGTGGTTCTTCGAAGACCTGTGTACGCGAGAGAGGACAAAAACACACACACCAGAAAAGAACGCGGGCGGTGGTAGCGTGGTAGAGCGGTGGGGAGCGGACGCGAACACAGTACGCGGTAGAGCGGTTCGACGCGCTCGACGCCCCGGGGCGGCGCTAGTTAGCGTTCTAGCACCGACGGGCGGAGGCGGATCCAGCTCGCGCGCGTATGTTCGCGACCGCTACCCGCGTTAGTTTCTAGTTAACGCGCTCGCGTTAAGAGAACGCGTTTAGAATAAACGGACGGGGTTAGACCTGCGGTGGAGAATCTGGTACCAAGCCCGTGCTTGTCCTTCTCCTCCCTCCGCCGCCGGCCGCCCTGTCATTTAATATACAAGTAAATAATCTATCATAACATATACTACAGTATCTAGGTAGCGCCTTACACGGTAAGCTCGCGCGCCTTACTCCGGATCGTCACGCTGTACACGTGCACAGCGAGCAGCAAGCGCGTACTTACAGGCGCGGGTGTGCTCGCTGTAGTGCATTTTGCGGGAGTACAGTAGTCACCCTGCGCGTTCGAATAACGTCCTGGCGATTATGCTACAGAGCCCCCCCCCCTCAAGGGTGAACGTCCGCGTTCACTCTTTTGGTAGCGCGCGGGGGGGAGGTTATAGTTGAGGCCGACAACCCACGCCACGCCATATGCTGAAAATGTGCTGATGAGGTGAAAATTTGCCCTCCATTTTTCCCCCTTTTTTTTTCTTCCACAGCCACGACGGCGGCGGACGCGTCAACTGATCGAGCGCCAAAAGCTCTGCCCCACTCCCCGCTAGTGGCGGGCTGTCCTGTCGTGCAGCTGGAGGTTTTTGCTCTTGACACGCTCTCTTCCCGTCTTACCGCGCTCGGTCCTCCTCTCAGATGCCCAACCACGTCAACGACAGGGGCTCGGGTCCGCGGCCTTCGGGCTCAGTTCTTGACCCGCTATCGACCCTGTCGGCCAGCGACGCCGGTCGGGGTACCACAATGTCACCAAGTGCCTCGGGGAACCCTTTAGGGGAGCATCGTTCCCCGTTCCAGAGGGCCCGCTCACGCGATTCCACGGTTTCTGTCGTTCTCAACGTCTGTGCGATACCTGCCTCGCAGGGGGAGAGCGCGTCCACTCCGCGCGTAGGCGGTTTTCCGTTGGCTCCCGCCCCCACGGGGATGCTTTATCAACCCG